TTTGCAAGCCCTTTCCTTGAAAAACATGCACATTTATTATTCTTTGTATGTATTGAAAATATGATAAAAACATTTTCATAGTATGGATGCAATCTAAATGCAAACTTTAAGTAAACACATGAATATATAACCAAATAACATCAAATGAACATGTAAAACTGAAACCATAAAAGAACCTTACAAGCATTCATTCAAACAATAAACACATGAACATAACATCACAAGTATTCAATCAAACAATTAGCACATGAACACAATTAAGTAACATCAAGTAATCACCTAACCCGAAACTATCATGTAACTTCGCATGAACATATTCATCAATTGAACTCATAAACACAACAATACTATAACACCTAATCATCATGTAAACATACATCATCACTTAAAGTGTAAAATATTAAGTAAACATATCAATACATATATCATCAATTAAACATAAAACTACATCAATTGATAAAATATAACAATCTTATAACATCTATATCTTGTGATAAGTTGAATTACACTTATTAATCATTAAGTAAACATATATCATCAAGTAAACACTTCATCTCAAGTAATCAATTGTTAATGAGCACATGAACAACAATCCTATGACACCTATGTTTTGTGATGTGATATGATTACACTTACTAATCGTCAAATAAACATATGAGCACAATCTCAAGTAAAAACATCTTTAACAAATGACCAACTATATATAAAACATGAAGTAACACATAAGCACATCAAAGCCTATAACATTTATTTTCAATCATCAATCAACTATGTAACATCTATGTCATATGGTAAGTTAAGACTGCACTTACCTTAAGATTTAGCTATTGTTAAAAGACTTTAAAATCTCTTAAAGATGTCACCTTCTACCTTGTTCTTGCTCCGGACTAAATTTGTCCAATTTTCCTTCCTCTCGACCACACTCACTTTCGATCAACTCTCTCTTTTCTCGACCAAACTTGTTTTTTCTAAGCAAATGAGTTTTCTCTCTTGTTGTTTTTATGTTTATTAAGGCTAAAATACCACAAACATTCTAGTACTCTCCCTTTATTTTCCGTCTTGACCTACCTAAATATTTAAGAAGCTCAAAATATTTTCTTTCTCTTTTCTTCCTTCTTGACCGACCTTAACATAATTCAAGAGAGCTTAAGACTAACACATGTGTGGAACACCTAATCAATAGAATTCCCTAGGTTAACCTAGATTAACACTTGTATGAGATATTATTCAAGTTGTTTTTTAGGTTAACACATATATGAGACACTTAAACAAGTTATATTTCTAGGTCCCTCAAATTTGAATAACATAACAAACTAGTCATTTTATTTTATCACTTAACTCATTCAAGTCGTCAATCTTTTAATTATCGCACTTAAGTCCCCTAATCACCTACACACCCATAACACTTAGCAATTTTAACTTGCAAAATCAAAAATTCATCAATATAAACATAAAGCATAGCATAATCACACTTAACAAATAAATACACAAATGCATAGAAATGTTCGGAGTCTCAAGTATTACATAACGACTCCATCCTCATTGCGGCCTATCGTCGACACACCACATAAAACCTTCAATAACATAAAATAATCTATTTAAATTACTAACTATACAATACTACAACTATTACTTTATTTTAACTATAAAAACTCTAAAAAAAATTAAAACAAGTCAATGAAAGCAAGATTGAAATAATAAATTGAATCTTTAATTTTTTTTATTGTCTTATGTTATTTTTTTTAACTCTTATGGATAAGCACCGACAATATTACAAAAAAAAAAAGACATTTATCCAAAAAAATAATTTACAAAATTTTATTTATGTATGTATTGTTATTTTAAATTCATGTCGGATATAAGTGCAAAGAACTATTTAAAATAAAAAAGGTTCATAATAATATATTTTAAGTTAAAATTTTTACTAATTATTATTTTTAAGAGTTATACATATTTAAAATTTGAAAGATAATTCAATTTATATTAATGATATTTAATTATGTCCATTTAAAAATAATTTTATATGGTTCAAAATTTTATTTAAAAACCAAACATGTTTATTTAATAAAAATCAAAATTTATTTCATTTATAAATAACTGTAAAAAATCTATCAATTTTTTTTTAAAAAAATTGATATTATAAAGTAGTTAAATAAACATGTGCGAAATACATGACGTAAAACTAGTCTCATAACAACGTTTAAAACAAAATGTAATAATGGTTAGGGGTCATATTGGAACTTTATGGAAATTGTTGGGGTAGATTTATGAATATTTTCATAACCAAATGATAGTGCTATCGCGAGCACTCAAATTAACTCCTAAACTCCTGTAAAAGCAAATAAATGCAGCTAGGGAGAGTAGGGATCGATCCCACGAGGAACTTGATTCGTTAGTCGTTACAAATGTCCAAAACACAATGTAAATAGGGGGTTTGGTTATGAAGGATTTGAACTCTGAAATTTAAAACGAAATATAAACTTCAACAATTTAATTAAATGAAATTAACGATATGAAACAAACCTTGGTTCGGGATACATCCTCTTTTGGAATTCAAGATCATCGATGCACTAAAGTATCGGTTAATCATTCAAATATTTGTTGGGATATTTAAACCAATCTTTCCTTATGTCTAGCCAATTGAAAACATGTATTCCAATCAGCCCTTATTGTTTAAGAATTCTAGATACGATCATAAGATTTAATTAAACAATAGCCTTAGGTATTAGAAAGATCAACAAACCAAGTCAACATAACACATGTAGTTATATTTAATCAAGTTGAACAATCTCTCTAAAAGTTGTGAGTTCCTAACGCAGCGAACAATATACTTCTAATTGCTAGCGGGGTTAAAGTGATTGAACAATTACGGATCCAATATTTAACCTAGCTTAACATCGTTTCAGACTTATAAACTAACTGCATATTTTAGTAAATAAATCAAACAATCATATAAATAAGTATAGATTAGAGTTCAATACTTGAATGAATTAAATTTGAATTAATATTAAAAACAAGCACCTCAAAAACCGTTTCCTTCTAAAAGATTCTCGCTCATTCACCAAGGAAAGGTAGTTTAGCTACTCCTAAACATGGTGGTCGAAATATTCGAGAAAAAGAAAAGAACAATCCTCTTTAGGGTTACAAAATTCGGAGAATATGTGCCTCCGGTCTCCCTTACACCCTCACCTTCCTATTCTATTTATAGGCCCTTTTTCTCTCTCCAATATGCCAACAAGATATGATTCGATCTCCTTTTCCTTAAAGATAGCGAGCTGCCTTAACCGAAAAATTGCACAAAATCCGTTTTCTAGTTGAACTCTGCTGTCGGGATCGGGTTTTAGCATGCCCACGCATTCTTCCGTTGTAAGTTAGAACTATCTTCCGCACCTACGCGCTCATGCTATCCGACACGCCCATGCTATATTCACAAAGCGAGCTTCAAAACAGACCTTCTTAACTATATTTGTTCCCACTTCGATAATTTAGCACTCGCGATAAAAAGATAATTAAAACTTCACTTTGGGACAATATCGAACCATAAAATATGATTAAATGAGATGTCCGGACATATGAAATTACTTTGCTATCAAATCCTCCACACTTAGATCATGCTTGTCCTTATGTATGCCCTTTTCAACGGATGTAAAAGCATATCACAATTAGTTCTCCCTTAATACATTCAAGATCACACATGCCATGGATGTAGTTTCAGCTAAGATTTGAGCAACACAACACAAAACAAATCTAATTTCACAATAGAATGTGCATGCTAGATCAACCCAATAATTTCATCCTAAAGTAAGCATAGCAATTCAACAAATTCTCTCATAGTTATCCCTCAATTCACTCAAGTGTTTATCTAGTAAATTGTTTCGCTCAATTTCCATCTACTCAAGTATTCTGTCATAAGCTCGCAAATACACCAAATCTCCACTCGCTTGCGACATTTACATGCATAAATCAAAAAGACTTTTCAAAGGTTGTAACAGTGGTGAAGGTTAAGGCATGAAGTAAGGTTATATAGGTTGAGAAATCATAAACATTAGCAAGGCAATTTGACCATTACTCATGAAATAGAGTTGTAAAAACTAAAACTTTTCAAGCATTGACTTATCTTTACAGGAATCCTTCTTTGGTGTGAAAAGCTACCGCCTCCTACTTTTTTTTTTGAATTAACCGAATATGAGATAGGAGGTTCGAATTAATTTTTGGCGAGCAGCTAAAAGAATACCAATAATTTCGAAATTCCCAAGTATGAAATTACTTCAAAAGTGTTCTTTTGATATTGTAGTCGACTCAAAAACCTTGCTAGCATTTGTGATTAGGTGAGGAAATTGTATTTTGCTGGGAGTTTGTAATGTGGGCAACGAATAAAAAAAAAGTTTATAAGGCTCGAGGAGTTTACAAGGGATATAAGTAATGGTAGGCTTTTAAGTTAAAACTGGCTCAAACAAATAAGGCCTTCATCATTTTTATGCAAGTACACATCAATGTAATCTCAAAATGGTTCAAGGCAAGTTCTAGAGATATACTTAAGTAGAGGAGCATCATACAAAAACAAAACATGGATTGGCATGTATTTAGTCAATCTTAAGGGTCAAAACTCACAAGGTTGTAGAACTCATTGAATTGTATGCTTTTCTTTAGGTGAAATTATCATAATCGATCAAGAGGGTACATTTTAAGTTAATTCAACCATGCCGCCCATATTGCTTTATGCTTGACTATTTCTCTATCCATGATATGCATTATCTCAAATCTTTAAAAGCAACCGAGAATGACAATGATTTAAACTTTCAAATCGGTGTATAGTGACGGACTTGTAAAGGACGAATCATGCTTTAAGTGAGGGAAAGTAACATCGATTATCACAAGGCAACAACAATTCACAAATTGAAATGAAAGTAGGACATCACAGCAATCAAAGCATATATAATCTCATCCCTCCCCCACACTTAAATAACACATTATCCTCAATAAAGAAGAGTACCAATCCAATGAATATCAAAGAGCAAAAGATATTGAGGTACAAGTTAATAAAACTAAAGAACTAAACTAAAGAAAAAAAAAGATAAAAAAGGTTGAGAAAACTTCTCCAAGTGGTAGGTAAGTGTCGAGCACTAAGGAGTAGACGGATAGGGTGGTACAAATCCTTGGGACTCGAAAAAGGCTAGTAAATTGTTCTTGACATGTCACAAGCGACGGTCGAGTACGACTACTCGGGTTTTTTATCGCGGGAGGCCGTGAAGGTCCCGTCTCGTGTTATGGGGGTCTGCTGGAACATGGGCGAGATGCACGAGGACAAAAACTAGGGCCCTTTTTGTTGGTACGGCGAGCAGTGCACAATAGTAGGTCTCGAAGGTGTAAAAGAATAGTTTTGAGGTTCCAACCGCACCAAGAGTCCCATCCCGTTTAAACAAGGGAGATCAAGTGGTTCTACCGCACAAGCAACATGTAAATTATGGTCTTGTAAATCTAAGATATGCAAGTTAATAGCAAGTTGGGTGATGTACTAGCCTAAAATCAAAGGTTTTGCGGACTTGCATATGACAAAACGCATCCGATGGAGGATCCAATAACCTAAATTGACCACTTTCACCCCTAAAAACATACCATAATAAGAAAAATTCTTTATAAGATAGTGTGCTCAGCAGCATCCTTGCGGCTCGAAAAGTTAAAGGCCAAAAATCTATGCAAAAGTCTCATAATGAGGCGTTTTAGGTAGGAACCTTTGGCATGGTTTGGTCTATAAGGTTTGGTACCCACGACCCATCGTGGCCAAAGGGTAACGAGGATTAAATGAACCAAATAGTCATACGGAGATTCAACGAAACCTAGAGGTCCGTGGTTAGGCTGAGGTAATTAATCCTAGGGCCATGTTGAATTCAACTATTGATAAAGAAAATCTTGGCCCATCAATCGAAAATTGACCACACCAAGAAGATATACCTCGAAGTTTCAAGGTCCTCAAATCCGAAAGTTGTATAAAACCCTCTAGTTAACTCAAAAAGGCAGGGCGGTTAATATTAATGAAAGAATTCCATCCCATATCATCAATCAATTTGTCAAACTCCTCAACAACATTCAATTGAACCAACATCGGGCGATGAATATACTTACAAGGTGTAATTTTTCCGTTGCAAATTGCCGCATACCTTTGTTTGTTTTTCTCGGTGAAAAATGTAAGAAAACCTCTTATTTGAATTTGAATACTCGTGGTAATGTTGCGGGGGTGCTTGTTGAGAAGAGGAATTAGAGTTATGGGAGTAGTGTGATTCTTCGGCATCCGATAAAGATACTAGAACCGATGGTGGTGGTGGCGGTCCCATTATGGAATTGGAAGCTTCTTCACCGTGGTTTGGTGGAGGATAAGGTGGGAGAGATTGGATCTCTATTGAGGTAAAATTTCTTCCCCTTCTTACTCGAGTGTGAGTTTGCATTGTAGGATTTTGGAATGGCGAGCAAAGTTAGGGTTTATGATTGTTAATTTTAATGTGTTGGGTTTTATGGGGAAAACGAAATGGCGAGAAATTAGGGTAAGAGCAAACCCGGGTTTTGCAAGGGGAAGTGTTGGAGGTAAGTTTGGGGTAGTGGGTGAACTCGACAATGGGAGAAAATGGAGGTGGTTGGTCGACGATTTTGGTGATGATGGCGTCGGGTTTTGGAGAAAATTAGGGAATTGGAAAACTTCTTTAAGGAAAATGGGATTGAAGTGTCCGGTGTATGAATTACAAATTAGAGAAGGCACATGAAGTGTGCCGTTTCACTTACTCAACAAAAGAAGTCCCCGATTTTACCATTTTACCCTCCAGGTAGATTATTGTTTCAAATTTGAAACATGGTGCTCTTAAGGTCATTTCCCACCATTTTTCCTATAGTTCTCCATTGTTGCTCCCGAATTAAAATAAAAATGTAACTCCGTAAAACCTTAAGGATGGGTGAAGGAGATGATCTCAACAAAAAATCAAAAACATAAAAAATGACTCTACCGCGTGGGCACGTAGAATTGCGTGGCCACGCTTATTCCTAAAAATGAAAATGACGAGTAAATGAAAATAACTTCGAAATAAATGGATAGATAAGCGGGGTGCCTCCCAATGAGCGCTAAGTTTAACGTCGGAAGCTTGACATAAACGATGCTTATGGGTCTCCATAAATAGTTTTGTGTAGGTTCAACTCATCTTCCCTCCGATCGGTAAATTCTCTTGATATGGTTTAACAACCCTAGATACGATCATAATATTTAATTAAACAATAGCCTTAGATATTAGAAAGATCAACAAAGCAAGTCAATATAACACAAGTTGTTATATTTAATCAAGTTGAACAATCTCCCTAAAAGTTGTGAGTTCTCGACGCGACGAATAATATACTTCTAGTTGCTATCGGGGTTAAAGTGATTGAACAATTACGGATCCGAGTATTTAACCTAGCTTAAGATCGTTTCAGCTTATAAACTAACGAAACATTTTATCAAATAAACCAAAAAACCATATAAATAAGTATAGAAGAGAGTTCAATAATTGAATGAATTAAACTTGAATTAATATTAAAAACAAGCACCTCAAAAACCGTTTCCTTTCAAAAGATTCTCGCTCATTCACCAAGGAAAGGTAGTTTAGCTACTCCTAAACATGGTGGTTGAAATATTTAGAGAAAAAGAAAAAAACAATCCTCTTTAGGGTTACAAAATTCGGAGAATATGTGCCTTCGATCTCCCTTACACCTTCACCTTCCTATTCTATTTAAGGCCCCTTTTCTCTCTCCAATATGCCAACAAGATATGATTCGATCTCCTTTTCCTTAAAGATAGTGGTGCCTTAACCGAAAAATCACACAAAATCTTTTTCCTGGTTGAACTATGTTGTTAGGATCGGGTTTCGCATGCCCACGTAGTTTTATGTGCTCACGCATTCTTTGTTATAAGTTGGAACTATCTTCCGCACTCGCGCACTCACGCTATCCGACGCGCCCATTCTATATTCACAAAGTATAGCTTCAAAACGACTTTCTTAACCACATTTGTTGCCACTTCGGTAATTTAGCACTCGTGATAAAAGGCAATTAAAACTTCACTTTGGAACAATATCGAACTATAAAATATGATTAAATGAGATGTCCAAACATATGAAATTGCTCTGCTATCACAAAAACTTTAGGCTTGGTTATTTATTTTCTTTTTTTCATTTTATGTTTTTTTTTTCATTTTCTTATCTTAATCAATTTTTTTTATTATTCATATTACTTAGTAATTGGCAAAAAAAAATAATAAAAAAATACAAGAATGCAAAAAATATTTGAATTGAACATTCAAGGATGCAATTGCATTAAATTCAAAATAATTATAGTAATTAAGGATACAATCGAATCATTCAAAGTTGAGGGGTCGGATTACATTAGATAAGGACCAAGTTAACCTAATAATGATTTACAGGGACCAAAATTATAAAATTATAAAAAAATCAAAAAAAGAAAGAAAAAATTGTAAACTTACGGAGGAGTGGACAACCGGTACCCCACTTCACGCCGTAACTAGTTTCGGGATTTTGTCCTCCTGCTTCATGGAGCCAATTTGGTTCCTAGTTACAACTTCAAATTCCAGCAATAATCAATTCCCTCAACATGCAACTACCCACCTCCTCTCTAGTTAGTCAATAATTCCAGCACCCCTTCACTCGTTGCAACTCCTACAAGACTATCCTAGCCCACAAACTCCCCTCCAGCCAATAATATCAGCACCACCCACCTACGACCACCCCTACTGCTCGTAACTCTTATAACTCAAACCTACTACCGAAGCCACCACAACCCACAACCACTCCCATCCAACCCCTCCCACTCGACACCCTTATCCCGCAGAAAATCTCCCACCATCATAGTGGGGAACCAACCAACCAAGCACAATATATATATATATATGCACAAGAGAGTTAAAAAAAAAAAAAGAGGCGAGTAAGTCCGAAAAATTGAAGAGAAAAAGAAGAAGAAGAAGAAAAAGCTGGATAGAAATGAGAAAGAAAGAAAGATCCGAAAATAAAAAGAGAGAAAAGAGAGATCAAATTTACGTGGGACTCGAGTCGCATCTCACTTCAATTAGACCCAAATCGGCTCCGGTTATCCCTTTTTAATTTTCCTAATTTGTTTTTGCTGTGAATTTAAAGTCGAGTTAAATTTAGGGCTTTTTGAATTTGGTTTGAAATCAAGGTTGGAAAACACTAATTAAGTCTAATTGAGGTCAATTAGAGTTTTAATTTGGCGTTTGAAACCCGAATTGAGGCCGAACTAACTTCAATTTAAACCTAGGGTTCTTGAGTACTTTTGAACAAAATTCAATTAGGGGTTTTTAAGAAATTGAGTCTATAAAGGTGTGAATTAACTTGATTGCAAAGGAAATCAAGCCAATTAGGCTCAATTGAAAGAAAAAAATAAGAAATTGAAAACGTATGAGGTTCGGCCAAAATGGGGGAAGAGCTTTGAGAAATTGATTTAGAGGTTTAAGATAGGAGGAAAGGAAGGAAGAGAAAGAAGGGAAAAAGAAGGAAAGAAAAGGGAAAACATGGACGAACCCATTTTGGTTCGTCCATGGCGCATTTGATAGAAAAAGAAAGAAGAAAAAAAAAGGAGGAGAAGAGGATTCGGGAAAGAATAAGAGAAGAAGAAAGGAGGAAAGGAAGGAAAGAAGAAAGGGAAAAAGAAGTAGCCATGGTTCATCCATAGCAATTTCGGCCTAAGGAAAAAGGGAAGAAAAAGGAAAAAAAAAAGAGGAAAAACGGGAAAGAGAGAGAGAGGAGAAAAATAAAAAAAGGTTTTTGATCTAAAAGTTTTTAAATCTTGATTTGAGTTATGTTTTTGGGCTAAGGTAATTTTAGCTTAAGAAGTGTGGGTTAGGCTTAGTCTAAACCATGTATAAGTGGGTTGCCTAGTCCAAAAAAAAAAAAAAAGGGTTTTGGATGAATTCTTCAAACAATTTTTTTAAAAAAAGTAAAAAATATATATATATTTGTTTCTTAGTTTTAAAATTCAAATTTATGTATGTTTGTTATTTTTTTATTTAGATGTTGAATTGTCTTTAATTATTTTTAATGTAAATTTAATCTTGAGTTTATACATGTTTATTAGTTTATGTTAACTTAGAATTTAATATTTTAATTGTTGTAATTATTTTAATTAATGTAAATTTAATTTTTAATTTATTTTATGCATGTTATTAATTTAAATTTCAGTATTTGAATTTTCTTTCATTTATTGAATTAGTGTAACTTTTAATTTATTTGTTTAGTAATTAGGCTTAGTAAACAATGGGTGGAGGACTCGTCAAGTCTCTTAATTCTTTAGGGATTGTTGACGGTTTTCCACCAAATAAAAAAATATATATATATAAAATATAAAAGTAAAATAGGAAAAATATATATAAAAAAAAATCATAAAACTCCTAACAAAGTCTCCTATCCGATAGGGACTCGTTATTAGTCAAAAAAGAAAAAAAAGCAAAGAAAAAAAAGAGAAACCATTTTAATAAACAAGTATTCTCCGACACATCGGTTATGTTGAGACTCAAAAAGTGGATCCGATGTGTCTCTCGACTGAAGGGGCTCGAAGATTGTTTCAATATGATGCCACGCTCAAAAATAAAAAAACTTAATTTGGCTTTAAATAAAAGACTTGGAAAATTGAAGTTTTAAATTGAAAAGTAATTTGGCAAAAATAAAATACTTTAAGAGATGAATTTAGGACTAAACTAGACGTGGTACCTTTCTTATGAAAGGGTGTTTTTGGGTGATCGATATCTTCCCCAAAACGTAACTAACTCCTTACCTTAGAATATCCGAACCGAGTGCCCATTTTAGGTTCATAGTTCCTTTAATACTAGGCGACGACTCCAAATTCTATAAATAAATAAATCTTAAAAGAGATTTGTTGGGAGTTTCGTCCGTCGTCGGGTAACGACAAATATAAAGGGAAAAAAATGAAGTTATGCCATATAAATAAATAAATATCGGAAGCCCATGGTAGGGATGGCGATGTATTAAGTATAAAGCGGTATTTGCTTTATTTAATCTAATAAATATCTATTAAGAATGTCTAATAGGTATTGAAGTGGGTCGGATAAGGATGACAATGGGTCAAATATAAAGAAGGTATTTGCTTTATTCTCGTTTAATAAATATCTATTAAGAACATCTAATGGGTATTGAATTGGATAAGGATAAAAAAATACATACTCATCAATATGATTTCAAGATATGAGTACGCACACTTTACTATATTAATATACACTAATTTATTTTGATTCTTTTATTGGCATATAAGGATATAATTACATAAAATTTAAAGATTAAGGATCAAAATATTTTAAAAAAATTTAAGAACAAAAACACTTATAAATAAATGACTAAAATTAAAAAATAAATAAATTTTGAGAATAAAAACTTTTCTTAAAATATATAAGGACTAAAATGAATATTTTTAATAAATAATTTTAACAAATATTAAATATATACTAAATATAAAAATAAATTAATGTGAGTTGGATATAAACTGAATAAATATTTATATAATATTTTTTTAATAAATAATAAATAAAGTATTTTTTTTATAAATACGATAAAAAATAAAATTAATTAGTCGGATAACCCCTAGCCATGGTGCCAAGAAGATCGTGCCATCCTCCAGGAGTCCCACGTGACACGAAATGGTCTTGTGTCTGAGTCAGCCTCCCTAAAAGCCCGACCTCCGGATGTAACAATCGTATTAATCCGTGTAACACACGCTCCATAGTGGCGCACCCAGTTGGATCGCCACTGTTATTTAATCTCGGGTATATTCGTAAAAGGATGGGAAAGGAGAGGCCACTCTCATTCTCATCTCATTTCAGTGTTTCTCTGCCTGAAATGGATGAACATAACGGTGACCCATCTGAGATTAACAGGTTTGCTTCCTACGTTTTTGGTTTTCTTACTGCCCGACTTTTTTAATGACTATTTCTCTTGGAAATAAACCTTAAATTTGGCGAAGGAAAGCATGCTGAGACTTGTGATTTATTTTTTGTAAATCAGCTGAAATAGGCTAATTGTTTTTCTTGTTTGTTCCTTTTGAATTTCTTGTAATTTTGTAGAAATTTTCTTTTGTTTCAACATCAAAGGAATAGTTTTTAACATTTAAATTGAAGTAGTTAAACTAGTATCTCAATATTTCTTGCAATTCTATACACGTATTATATAAATAAGAAAACAGGATCCAACAAGGGCTTTTTGGGTGGAAGTAGCTGGATTTTGCTGCTGGATTCAAACCTGATGTTTCTATAGAAGGAGCTCCTTCTTTTTTTAAAAAAAAAAAACCGATTTTCTGTTTCCCAGGGCTAAAAGGAATTCAGTGATTGTTTTGTATGATCTTGGATGAGAAACTGCACAAAAAATATAGAGAAACATGGTTAGTTGCAGCTTGTTTTGCTTCAATGCTCGGTTTTTATTGTCTGTCTCCTTAGTTTGTAGCTTCTTGTTCAAAGATCCAAGCACTTACTCATTTGCATTATTTTCTTGACTTAAATGCTTGAAGCATTTAATTCAAAGATCCAAGCATTTGCTCATTTGCATTATTTATTGTCTATCTCCTTAGTTTGTAACTTCTTGGTCAAAGATCCAAGCATTTGCTCATTTGCATTATTTTCTTGACTTAGATGCTTGAAGCATTTAAGTCAAAGTTCCAAGCATTTGCTCATTTTCATTATTTTCTTGCCTTAAATGCTTGAAGCATTTAAGTCAAAGATCCAAGCATTTGCATTATTTATTGTCTATCTCCTTAGTTTGTAGCTTCTCGGTCAAAGATCCAAGCATTCTCATTTGCATTATTTTCTTGACTTAAATGCTTGAAGCATTTACAGTATTGATTAGGATTGAAACTAACTCCATGTATTATTTATTCTTTTTTTCTTTTTTTTATAACTAACACACCCAAGACTCACTAGTCTGCTAGTATTTGAACCCATTACCTCTTTTGCAAGAGATCGCTACTATTGAGCTACAAGCTCTTTGGTATTATTATTTATTCATTAAAAGGAGTTTTTTCTTAGAACATATGAACCTAATGCTTTTACCTAGTTTCCATAATAAGATGGAATTAGGGGAGAGGATTATGTTTTGTCCTTCTTCTGTCATATTTCTAGTTAGCAATAATGGAAACTTGTTGATCTGTTAATTTCCTTAGTATGCTTTTTTATCCAAATGATTGTTATGTACTTTGCTTGTTGTCCATATTATCGAAAATGCAGCTTCTTACTTGTCGGATGTTTTTTTTTTTTTTGGCCCCACTTTTGCTTTCAGCTTCCAGCTCAAAGGAGCACTCAACTCCAGAGTTTTTTACTTGAACAAGAAAAGGAAGTTACAGGTTGAGCAATTAGGCTTGCCCATATCAAAGCATAAATGCTGGGATCATCGCTTACCTCTTGAAACTTCCACAATATATGAAGAAAATCAAGAAGAAAAAGACTTAATCACACACATAATCGAGGAAAATGCTGAAATACGGGCCATTGATGAAGGATCAGATCCTGAATCAGTTAAAGATAGCAATAGCTTTGTTGGGGATTCTGAGTCTGTGTATGGTGAAGCTAAATTTGAGATGGAGGTGTCAATGATAGGGCTACCGGACAGGTCATCAACTTCATCATTCAACTGGGACAATAGTCTTAGGGATACCCAATATTCTTCAGACAATGCTGCAGCACCAAGACACGCTGGAAAAGAGAAATTGGCGTTTGTGGAAGGGGAGCATGATCATTGCTGTCGTTATGATGGACTACAAGTAACTCAGAATCTTGAAGAGCCCATCCTAGAAATTGAAAGCCCTTTAGAATACTTTTGCTCTGAGTTTGGAACTGACAACATCGATCCATGTACAGATAAAGAAGTTGGTGATATTCTCTATTCCAATGGGGTGAACCCAAATGCGTATGTCCTTTCATCTGGAAGATGGGCTGTCAACCAAGGTAATTTAGTTTGCCAGCACTCTTGTGGTTTGCAAATTCATGCCGTCTTATTTTGGTTGTTTAAAATGACAACATAATTTGAAAAGTTTTACTTGGCCTTGTATTTGTCTTGATTTATTGATGTCATTATATTTGAATGCAGATGCTCAATCAGGCCCCCGAAAACCAACCATTGATCGAGAATTTGAGCAGTACTTTTCCATGCTTATGCTGTAGTAGTGAACACTCGTTATTATGCCTGGAAGCGAATCAAATAATTTTTAGTACATGTCTGTTCTGTGACTGAGTAGAAGAGTGGAAGTCAAAATGTAAAGTAGCTTTCTGGCAAGAGATAACTGTAAGTAGCTTGTAGATATAGCTATGCCCTTTTTCTTCCAATCTTATGAGCCAGCTTAATACAGCTGTATTTTGCTTCTCCTCCATGATTCTTGTATCATATATGACCCTGGCAGTGTGCTATTCTGCCGCTAGACCACCGGTGCTTCTTGGTAGTAGTTTCGTACGCAATAATATTACTATAGTATTTAGTGCCAAAGGAACTGAACTTCATATCCTGTTACAAGGAAGTTTGAGTTTGAATTTGGAATTTTTCATAATAATCTGTTTGACTGACCATGGGGCAATCTAAAAATTAAGTCTCTGTTAGCGCCTCAGCATCAATCAGATGTCAAAACTCAACTTTAGTTAAAATCAAAGCAAAATAGTAATTATGAGAGGGAAAGTACTCCATCGTGGAGGCACCATACATAAAATGTATAATATTAAACTAAAACAAAGCGCGGTAGTTGAGCCAAATATAGAATAAATCTTATTGATTAACGTAATTAATCCAAACGATGTTTACAAGTGAGCTGAGCTGAGCCGCTCATTAGTATCTCGAGTCTTAATTTAATTTGACTCTCTACCAACCTACTAGCAACAACGAGTCACAAACAAACAATGCAAAATTACTTAATTTCTTTTGTTTTATTAATTTACAAGCCTCACCTTCTCGCCCCGCACAAAAAAAATCTCTTAATTATTAAGTTTTGTAAAAAAACTAGAATATTTGACGCACGATGGATCCTGATCCGGACCAATATCAGTCAAAATCTAACACTCGGGAAGATCCGACGGTGGTGGTGGTAACTTTTGATTCGGCTGGGGTCCATCCAAGACTATCCATGCCATCCTTAAGCCCCAGCTTGTGTGCACATCGAGATGGCAGTGCATGAACCACACCCCTACTCACAAGGCCACAAATAAATAAATAAATAAAAACAAAATCATTGCCGTCGATCAGCAATATTAACATTTAAGTAAAGTAAACCACAAAAAAAAATTATACAGAAATAACATATAAAAACAATTATGCTACAAGTACTAATTAACAAATATTTATCTCGGCAAATATAACTAAAAAGTAGACAATAAGACATATAGAACGCACCTGGATTGTCCGACAAGAAGCGAATAGCGATCCAACCACCAGCTGGAACTCCTGCCGTGTTCCTTTCCACAGGGTCGACCAAATTAAAATGGGAAGGATCTTTGTTGGGATCGTAGTTGCCAGTACCTTGTCCAACCACAAAGAAATTAAAACCATGCAGATGCAGAGGGTGACTTTCAGCACCAAGAATGCTTGTGTCCTGCATTACCAATTCCACGCTCGTGTTGAAAGGTAACACCAACGTTTTTGTACCATTGCTAACCATGGTATTATTTGGTGGAGTACCCGTATAATTGAATGGTTTTGGTGGGTTCTGAGGAAAATCAGAGGTGAACACACCATTTGACTGTCCAAAGAAATAGGATTGGAGAAGAGCTATAGAGGGTAATACAAATGACACATTGTTAATCGAAGCAGCAAATTTGGTATTATTTGTTGGTCCCTGGCAGGTTGTGTTTTCAGGGCACGGGTTAGTCCCAAGTCCTACAGTGAAGAAAAATTTCCTGTCCACAGTTTGCGGTACATTAGCAGGATATTTAGCATTGGCTAAGCTACGGAATTTCCTGGTGAAATTTGCAACAAAGCCAGTATCATTGATTGGTGGCAGAGTTGGTTTGAGTGAAGGAAGCTTTTTGAAGTGATTATTGCTGGATGGATGTTTATAAACTAGGATGCCAGCCGCGGTGGAGTTGTCAATGGACCCAATGCCTGTGAAATAAGGCCTAGCAGCCATGAAAAAGGTTGCGTTAGGGAAATGAGGCTTGGTTTTCAGTAGAACATTTGTCGTTTGGCCTGGACTGATGAGGAGTGTGTCCGTTTCGAAAGGTTTGACATAAACGGCATCGGCTTCAACGACAGTGAGAGTGTGGTTCGCAATGCTGAAGAAGAGCTCGTCGTTGAGTGCAGCGTTGATTAGTCGGAGAAGGTAGGTTTTTCCTGGCTTTACCTTCAGTTTGTATGTATCTGCAAAGGCCACATGGATAATTAATTATTGAATATTTCAAAAATTCAATTTCTATGAAAATACGGTTTTTCATTCATTACAAAAAAAGTTGGCATTGCCATATATACTTGATTTACGTGGATTGTGGATGCATTTAATTCTTTCATGGTTGAATGCTACCTTCCTCTTTCCAACAAATATCTTAATTTACCTTTCGACTACTGTATTGTGATCCCGATTAATGATACTCCTATAATTCTAATCCTAATTATTAATTACTGTAGGCCAACATGACATGTTATCTTTTTGAACGTATGACATGTTATGTATAGAATTCTAATTAAAAAAAAAAAAACAATCAATATAAAAATAGTATAGTCTTCAATCAAAATAATTCAAAAAGTATATAAATAAATTTTTTTTTCATGTTATTTTCTTAAAAACTCATATGAAATGCACGAAATGTATTATATATAGGATTCTGTCATAGTTAAACTATAAAGATTTTTTTTTAAAAAAAGTATTATATTAAATTAAAAATAATAAAATAATACATAAAAAGAGAAAAAAAACGAATCTAACATGCAACTAATAAAAAAAGTATATGATAAAGTGTAATATCGATCAACCATAGGTCTTTAGTTATTAGGTCTAATACTCCACTAAAAGTAAGAAATTTTGAATATTTTTACAAATTCAAAATGAAAAATAGGGTTTTTTTAATAGAAAAACTAAAGATTGCATCACATTTTTTATTTGATAGAGATAATTAACTACTAGTTAGTATTGCTGTTATTTTTATTTTTATTTTATATTTTTTGAATTGTGTTATAGGCTCGTTTTTTTTTCTTGTTTACGTATTTTATTTTTTTTAATTTTTTTATATATATATATAACTCTTCACATGTTTACTATATATGACATGTGACATGTTTGGTGCATTTAGGATCATAGAATTGCTCCATTAGAATTATATATATGACATGTGTCACGAATTTAAAAATGTAACTTATCACTAGGTTATAAACCAATAACATTATGATGAGAGACGGTTAAAAAAAAAAAAAAAGAAGGTAATCAATCAATATAAAAGGAATATAAGGTTTTAATTAAACAAATTCAAAGAGCATTGGGATGGATAAGAGGCAAAACCTTTTGATAAAACTATTTTGTACATATGCGTACCTAACATGTCGTCCTTTTGACCTATTCTTGCTACATGACACTTGAATTCATTGTTTTAGGTAGAATATCAACGCATTAATTTTTCCCATGCAAAATCTTAAAACCGGAAATGGCAAAGTCACTGGTTATCATCATCAAGTGATATTTTTACCTTTAGCAGAACAATTGTATAATGGCCCTGGAAGGCCATTGATGGTGTACGCATCTGAAACATTTGGACCTGCACCGGTTTGAAGAGCCTGGGCAATCACAGCTTCTGGGTCTACATTAAACCATTCCCCTGTAATTGCAAATTTATTATAAGAGGTCTATTCTATGTTGAATAGCATAAAATTTAGAATCCGATATTGGAAAAATATATATATATAGTATAATACAATACATTGAAATGCCAGTACTTGATAATTAATTACCAAAAAGAATGGGGATTTCCTTGTAGGGTTTCTGAAATGGGTAGGATTCGTTGAGCTTTGGTAGAATAATGATGGGTCCATAAAGCGATGATCTTAGCCATGAAATGTGAGCATGCCATAGGAGTGTTCCTCTCTGCCCAGTGATGGTGAAATTGTACGTATATGCCTGGCCAGTTTGTATGGGACATTGTGTTACGTAAGCTGGACCATCTGCCCAACCGCTAGTTAGCTGCCTTACTCCATGCCTGTTCCCTCATTCAAAATAAACAAATTTAAAATAATGCTTTGGCCATAATTATAAATTAAACATTGATTTGTCCGATAGACTATCTATTCATACCAGTGAATGGTAATGTTTTCTGCAACATGATTGACCACCTTAACGAGTACTTGATCACCTTCCCTTGCTACCAAGCGAGGCCCAGGGAACTGTCCATTTGCCGTCACTAGCCTCCTTGTGTGGCATAATCTCGTAAAATTTTGGTATTTGATCTTTTATTAATCAGGAAAAACAAATAAAATAAATTAGAATATACAGCTAGGAAGAGAAAAAGTAGAAGCAAATTAAAGACCTTTCATGTTGAAGTGTTAATGTATGTACATTGAAAGTGTACTGCCTTGTTATGGCCGCAGCGAAGTTGGGCATTACAGATAAAATGAAAAATCCAAAGAGCAGAGCTGCCATTGAAGGCAATATTGAGGGGCGGGGAGAGTTGCTCATTTCCTGTTTCTCTTTCTCTTGAAATATGTCTGATCTCTCAGACTATTTGTTTGGTATGGTAGAAATATTTAAAAGACGAGCAAGCTGGCTAATGGGTGCAGAGTGTTTGGAGATCGATACCACCAAATTACACATATTATATAGAGGAAGATTAGGTGATGAGAAGATTATCATGTATAAAACAAGGAAGAATAATTATGGAGTTTCACGTCCAGTTCATAGTTGAAGTGGTCCTCAGCTTTGCTTTTCTTGGTTGAGCTGAATTTTAGAGTGTTGATAAAGTAAGATTTTTCCATTAACTATCTATTAAATTTTGATTACCAGAATGACCTTTTGTTATTGGATCGTTCTAATCACGTACATGAAGCTGACTACTGTTAAGTTTAATAATTGAGATTGTATTCTTAAAAAATATATATATATAAATAAAACTTTTACACTTTATAGCGCGTGGATAGTTTATTCTCAATTTTAAATTTTAATATTATTTCATGTATTTATTTTATGTGGAATAATCTGTCTAAC